CGCTATCTCCCCAGCCCTAGTCCATCTTTCTGTCTTTCTGTTTCTTTGTCAATTTGTATTTCTGTCTATCCTTCAGATCATCTGTCCTCCCACCTGTCTGTCTGTATTCCTCTCTTTCTGTCTGGCTCCATGACTTCTGTCTCTCCATCAGTCTTTCTGCCTGTGTCTCTTTCTGTCAATCTGTGTATATTGCTTTATTTCTATACATTAGTCCATGTCTTTCCAACTTTATTTCTGTCTTTCTGTTCATCTGTACACTGACTATGTGTGTCATCTTTCTCTGTCTTTGTCTGCCTGTCTCTCCCTCTTTCTGTTTGTTTGTATTTCTGGCCATCTGTCTATCTTTCTTTCTTACTCTCAGTCCATCAGTGACTCCATTTTTCTGTCTTTCTGTATATCTATCTCTCTATGTATCTCTTTGTCCATGTCTGGATTTTTTATCCCTGTTTTTAGGTCTTGTCCATCTGTTTTTAGGCTGCTTTTGGGTCCATCTATGTATGCTTCAATCTGTCTGTCTTGCTAATCATCTATTTGTACATTCATCTTTGTGTCTATATGTCTGTCTCTCTATAGTTCCCTGTCTATTTTTCTTTTGACCTGTCTTTCTGATTTTCTGTCTTTTGATCTTTTATTTTTTGTCTATCTTTCTCCCCAGTTGTCTGTCTATTATTACTACCTATCTCTCTGTGTTGGTCTGTCTGTCCTACTTCTTTATATCCATCTGTCTGTCCTTCTTGCTTTGTGTCTCTAAGGCCATCTGTCTGTCCAAATTTCTTGGTCTTTCTTTCCATATTTTTGTCTGTCTATATGTCCATCTCTTTTTCTGTCCATCTGTCTGTTGGTTGTCTGCCTTCATTTTTCCTTATTTTTTCTTTCTATATATGTTTCTGTCCATCTGTCTGTCATTTAGTCTTTCTATACACCTATGTGCCTATCTGTTCATTTTTCTTCTCTTTTGATCCATCTGTTTTTATGTCTGTAATTCCATCTGTCTTTATGTCTCTCTCTGTATACCTGTCTGACTTTACCTATCTGTCCATCTTTCTCTCTGCATTTTGTCTGTCCACATTGTTTAAGACCATCTGTTTGTTCTTCTTTCTGTTGTTCTTTTTCTCTTTTTGTCTGGCATGTGAGTTTGTCTTTCTGCCTTTTGGTCCATCTGTCCTGCCCGTGCTTCTGTCAGTCTTTCTGTTTCTCTGTCTCTTCATCCTTCTTTTTGCCAGTTTGCCTGTCAGCCTGCTTTTCTTGCTATCTTTTCATCTTTCATTTCATGTCTTTCCAAATTCCTATCTGTCCATCTCTCTTTCCTTTTATACTTATCAGTCTTTTTCTCTGTCTTTCTGTCTATTTTTCCTTCTTTCTACTATTTGACCCACCTATACATCTTTCTGTATTTCTGGTCATCTCTTTGCTTGTGCATTTGTCTATCTGCATGTCTGTCCATCATTCTGTCTGTCCTTCAGTCCATCTGCTTTTGTTTCTTTGTGTCTTCCTGTCCATTTCTCTATCTGTCCATCTATTTATCTGTCTGTACATCTTTCTGTCTGATCCTTGCTTTTCTTTCTTGCTGTCCATTTGCCTGTTCACCTGTCTATCTATCTGTCTTTCTGAATGTATATCTCTCTGACAATCTGTTTGTCCATCTTCCTGTTGTTTTTGCTTTAATCATCTGTTTCTCTTTCCATCTTTCAGTCCATCTCTCTTTCTGTCCTTCCTCTGTATCTTCCTGCTCAACTATTTGTATGTGTGTCTCTATCTGTCCATCTTTTTGGTTTTTCTGTTTCTCCATTTTGCTTTTTCTCTGTCTTCTCCATTTATCTTTCTCTCGATTGGACTCGTAGTGATCTGCCTATTTACAGTCTCCTAAGAGCTGGAATTACAGGCACACACCACCACGCCCAGTCTGAATTGCCATCTAAGCATGCACCGGGGGCGAGGCCGGCATGGCAGACCTGGGGATTGATCCCCATACACTGAGCTATTTGGCCATCCTCTCCCCATTTGTCTTTCAGGCTGTCTTTTATTTCATCTGTCTGTCTGTCTGTCTGTCTGTCTGTCTAGTTTTCTCTCTGTCCTTCTGTCTTGCTCTATCTTTCTATTTGTAGTTCTGTCTTTTTAGCTCGATCTCTCTTTTTTTGTATCGGTAATCAAACTCAGGACCTTGCACTTCCCAGACAGGTACTGTGCCTCTGAGCTATGTACCTGACCAATATCCATCTCTCTATATGTCTATCTCTCTATCCTGTGTCTTTCTTTTTCTATCAGCCTATCTTTTGATCCACCTATTTGGTATTCTCTTTGTCCTTCTGTGTCTTTGTTTTTCTGTCTGTCTTTCAGTATGTCTCTTTCTAGCCATCTTTACATCTTTCTATCTATCTGCCTATATGCCTCTATCTTTCTCTTTCTGTCCATTACTCTTACTTTATACTTATCTGTCTGTCTTCCGAACATGTCTGTCTTTCTGTCTACCTGTCTGCCTGTTTTTCTGCCTGTCTTCCTATCTTTGCCTGTCCTGTTTGTATGTCATTCTATCTGTCTCTCTGTCACTCTGTCCATTTGCCTGTCTCTTGGTCTGTTTTCTTTTTGTCTGCATGTGGGCTGACTTTTTGTCTATCTGCAAGTCTTTCTGTTTTGTCTTTCTTTCCTTCTGTGTGTGTTTATGTCCAATCATCTGTTCATCTGTACATCTATATGTCTTCCTGTCTTTGTCTAACTGTCCTATCTGTGTCTCTCTTTGCATCCATCTGTCTGTTTTCTGCTCATCTGTTCATCTGCCTATCTATCCATCTCTCAGCCTGCCATTTTCTGTCAGTTAGTCTCTCAGTTGATCTATCAATCCATCTTTCTGTTTGTCTGCATTTTTATCCCTCTTAATTTCTCTGTTTTTTCTGTCTTGTCCATCTGTTTTTCTGTCTGTCTTTTGTCTTCATTTCTTTCAGTGCATCATCCATTTGTCCATCTTTTTCTCTGTTTGTTTTTTTTCCTTCTGTCTGTCTTTCCATCCATTTGTCACTTAGTCCATCTTTCTATCATTGCATTTTTCTATCAAAGATCTAAAGACAAAGACATATAGAGTATAAAGATGGACAGACAGATAAACAGACACATATACAAGCAGACAGAAAATAGGAAGATGAAGTAATATACTGAGAAACAGATGGAAATATGGAAAGATGTACAAAGAGACAGACGGACAGAAGAACAGACAGACAGAAGGTCATAGAAACAAACATATGAGCAGAAAGAAAGATGGACAGACCAAAAATACCAACAGACTGAAAGATGCACAAAGTAATGAATGAACAGATGGGCACAGAGACAGACATACAGTCAGATAGATGAGCAAAAACTAGATAGTAAATTGGAGATATAGACATATGACAGATGGACACCCAGTAAGAAAGGAAGAATAAAAAAAATGAGAAATAGACAGAAAGACAGGCACAAATGGACAGAAAGACCAACACAAAATCAGACAGGAAGATGGATTTATGGACAGACAGGTGGACAGTAAGACAGAAAGATGGGAAAAATGATAAGAATTTGGAGGAAAAAATGGATGGATAGACATACTGAAAGATGGACAAAAACAAAGACAGATTATACAGAAAAAGTGAAGACAAAATAGTGATAGACAAAAAGACAAGCAAAAGGGACTTTCTTGATGCTATGTTTGCTTCCTTTATATACAGCCTCCATGAAAATGATAGCTTAAGAATGAGGCACTTAGAATGGATACCTAGAGAGAAGGGACTTGGCAAGTGATCAGCAAACTAGGGACAAAGTCTGCCATTCCCTGCTTTTCTGTGGTTCACAAGCTTAGAACAGCTCTTACCTATTTTACATGCTTGAAAAAAAATCAGTGCTTTTCTGTGCAGTAAAAATACTTCATGACACAAGAAGATTAAATGAAATTTGCATTTCAGGGTCCACAGTTCAAGTTTATGGGAACACAGCCCCACCTGCTTTCCAAGGTTATTTTTGGCAAGGTTGAAAGGTTGCAACAGAGACTACATGATACATAAAGCCTAAAGGATTTACTCTATAGCCTGTACAGAAAGAATTTGCCCACTCCTGTTGTAAAGTTTGAAGACCAAGTATTTTACTATACCTATAACTGATTTATGGGTCAACTGGTTTGGAGGCAGTACTACAGAATTCAACTTGGCTTCTCTGGGCTTCAGAATTTTCAGGAGTTCTACTGAGATACTACAGATGGTATATCCAATGTGGGTGAAAATTACGGGACAGATTGGTGTAAGCACTAAATAATCACCTTGTGAGTGACTTCAATTTTTGCCAGTGGTGAGGAAAGACAGAAGATCTTTAATAATGTGAAAGGAAATCTTACTCCCCTGGCTACACTTTTTTCATGATAAACTTCCTGTCTACTCCCCTAGAGACAATAGTGAGGGTGTAACATGGGCGGTCCTCCTAGTTTGCCTCACACTTCTAATGGAACAGAGAAAAAACTGGTCTTTCCTAGTTCTCTCTTTCTCTCTCTCTCTCTCTCTCTCTCTCTCTCTCTCTCTCTCCCCCCTCCTCTCCGCTGCCCTTTTATCTCCCTCCATCCCTGAATTCTACTGCAATCAAAGGCACACTTCTCACTTCTCTCACTGCACTGTACCCCCAGGCCATGCAGAAAACACACATAGTTTGGGGCCTCCCTCTGCACCTGCATGCAGGACCCTCCTTGCAGGTCTGCAAGGAAGGCCTGTTTTACAGGTTTTCTGGGAGCGGGGTAGGGAAAAATCACAAGCAGCCTGATCATGGCAACAAGCCCAGTACACATCTGCAACCCAATTCTAGCAAAAGTGAAGCCAATATTGCCCACATGGATCTTTTCCAGTAAATTCTAAAGTCAAGGAGAAAGACGGGCCAGAGTCCTTGAACTCCCATATGCCATGTAAATTAATAATGATAATGCAATCTGAAGTCTCTGCCTCCGGTTGCTACAGCTTAGACATAGTTTGCCACCCCCCTCCCAAGAGTCATGTGCTAGAAATTTGTTCCAACTGTAAAAGTGTGATCCTTGTGCAGGGCCCATGCTAATCTTCTCTGCATAATTCCAACTTTAGTATATGTGCCGCCTAAGTGACCACCCGACTGTACAAGTGTTGAGATGGTCAAACCTCTAAGTTGTGGGGACTGCAGAAAGGTAGCACCACTCTTAGTTGATCAGTGCTCATCTTGCAGGATTGAATTAGTTTCCGAAAGAGAGACTTGTTACAAAAGAACAAGCCTAGTCTCTCTCTCTCTCTCTCTCTCTCTCTCTCTCTCTCTCTCTCTCTCTCTCTC